TCAGTTCTTGTTTTGATTAAATTGTGCACTTTCAACATACTTGATAGGAAGTGAAACTAAAAACTCGCATGTAAATGCGCACGCGCACACACACACACCATATAGGAGTTTAAAATGAAGTGGAACATTCTGCTTTCAGGGTCACCATTACCTCAGTGAGATTCATCTCTTAAAACAATGACACTTAGTGTCTCTGTAGTTCCATGAATACTTTTGAAGTGTCATATTAAAACCAATCTCAGTGGCCTAGAGGCAAAGAGAAGCAATTAGTCTTGGAGTTGTGAATAAATAAAAATCCATTTATACACCCGTCCTTGACATGTACCTTGCAAATCTTAGAAACTTCATCTAATGGGAAAAGAAACGTTAAATCGCGAATACCAATACTAATCACATTGCCATGCGGCTTCCTAAAACAGTTTAGTTTCTATCAAATCTTTTAAGTATTAATTTATATGTATATATTCATTCATATTGAACATAGCAAAGCAGCTTTAGTAGACAGCGAGGCGAGGCGTGGGCTGCACTGGGGGGCCACCAGGACCATGACAAACAGATTTTGAGTGGGAGTACAATCCTCAACTCATCATCACAGTCTGAGTATTGTTGACATTCTTCAAATACAAGGTGGGTTTCTCATCCCTATCCTGGCCCAACCCCGCGGCGCACCCCCCCCCCTCCCCCAAGTCTGAGCTTCACTCAACTGCCCCGGAAGAGGGACATTTTCTATCCATGTGGAAGTTGGGTCACCCACACCTGCTGTGATTCCAGTCATGGTTCTCAGGAGAGCTCAGGAGGTCAAAATAGGTGCTGATTTCCTACACTACTTATTTGGATCCTTCCAAGCTGGGCAGGGCATGTGTAGACTGGGCTTTGCTGTTCCCGGGCCCTGCAGCCCTGCAGCACCTTGGTAGCTCAGGTGCAATCAGCCCCTGAACAGGTCAAACTCCACAGGTCTGACCTGGCTAGGGCAGGGCTCAGAGAAGGGGGGCCTCTCTGGTGAAAGCTGGGGGTCAGTGGCCCAAGCTCAACCAGCAGAAGAGGGGAGCAGAGTGGGCAGCCCTCCGGCGCTATAGTGATCCCTGACCTACTTCCAGGGCTCCTTTCCGTTCAAGAGGCAGCAAAAGATCCATAAATTAAGGAAATTAACTGATGGGGCCCGCGGCATCTTTGTAAGCTATTTAAATCTATAAATTTGCAACATCTTCTGCATATATCCAGTAATTGAACTAACTGCAGGGATGTAACTTTAATGAGAAAATTTCCCTTCTGTAGTAGTGCACGTTCTAAAATAAATAAATAAAACCTCCCCTTAGGAGGAAAGTTTCTGTTTATTCCCGCGTGGAGGATTTACAGAAGCGCAGTCCGCAAGCTCTTTCCACGTGCGGGGTCCCCTAGTCAGAGTGGTGTGGAGCCTTCCCCACTCCACGACCTCCCACCAGCCCTGGGGCGCG